ATTTATCTATTATAAAACCTATTCGTCAGTATGTACAAATTATTAAACAACCGAAATTAATATACAATCGCTATACTATATGAGTTTCTTAATTAAATCTAATAATAAATATTGCTTTTGAGTTCACATGCTTTTCTTTCTAAGTGATAACAAGTAGTACATATGGGTAATCCATAGTTCATAGTCTTAAAGCATGCAGGATTATTACAAAGTAATTAATATTTATTTAACTTTCTTTTCCGTCTTTGTCGCACTTTATACCTGCTCTTACAGAATTAAAAAAAAAATTGAATTTAGGAAAATTGCCTTTGAAGTTCAACTTTTAAAAAAAAAAATTAAAAATTTAAAAATAGTAGAAAGACTTACCGTAAAAGAGCTTGATATTAATTATTTATTTATACGAGAGATCAGTAAGAAAGTCTCTAGGTATAATAAACATGAATTTCTAATAACGTAATACTGGTAGTTTTAAATTAAAACAGGGCCGGCTTAAGTATCTTTTTAATAGATTATTAAAAACCAATAAAATAATTAATTTAATTCAATATAGAGTACCATATCTACCAATTTTATACATTTTATAAATCATTAATTGTCAGAAATATTAAAAATAATTTCAAGTATCTAGATACCTACCATACTTTTTCTTTTACTACTTTTATTGACCAAAAATTATGACACAAGGGTCATCATTTTAGGGTTCTCTTTAGAAATAAATCAGGCCCGTTTCATACCGTATTATTCTCCTCCAATATTAGGTGCTCTTCGGCCAAGAAGAGTACGTAACAAAAACATTGATAAATTACCAAAAAACTTTTGTTTTTTTAATAAGTGTTTTGTTTTTCATTACCCTACGAACTTTTCGCGGTTTGTAGTTGTTGTAATTCTTCCTCTTCTTTGGTAAGAGGTATCGTGGAGTGATTGTAAAGACCCTGGGCCATAAGTTGCAACGCGAGTGGGTTCTTTTGACCAGAGGCCTTTTTGATTTTGGCCCGTTTGTTTTGGAACCATATCTTTATTTGGGCCTCGTTGAGCCCGAGCTCTTGGCTCAACTGTTGACGACGTCTTTCGGTTAAGTAACGATTTTCGGCAAATTCGTGTTTTAAACGGGCCAATTGCGTACCTGAAAATGCCGTCCGAGGACGTTTTTCTTCGTTTGCTCCAGGAGACTTGGTTCCGGTTTTCTTCAACCTCCGTGTTCGAGGACCTGAAAAGAAATATCCGCGATTTAGTTTTGGAATTAATCAAATTTTCTGATCAATTTTTCACCACTTTCCGTAATAGACTCAAATTAAAGAAAAAAACATCCTGTAATTATTTAAATAACTTCTTTGGACATGAAATCAGAACACTTTTCATCATCATCAAAAGGTCGTCAGATCTAAGACTGGATGGACTAGCACTTCCACTCTCTCCTATCCTCTCTTCTATCTATCTCCTATCTTTCCTAAAACTAGATAATCCCACATCCTTAACTGTCTGTGAACAGTAATCTAATACGTCTCTAACTAGAACTTCATGCCTGAGAATGTGTCCTACTGATCTAACTCGCCTAACTTCATATTGACTTCCATAGCGTCTTCTTTCTCTTCAACATGAGGTCGTCAGTCCTAAGACTGGCTGGAAACGCATATCCACTTTTTCCTATCCTGAGACTTTTACTAATTAAAAATTATTTAGATTTCTTTAATCCTATCCTAAATTTAGTTTAGTTTAATTGCTGTCAATAAATTTAAATTATCAAAAAACTGAGGGTTAAGGAACTGCTATAAATTCGTCGCTTACAGGAATTATGAAGAATGAAATCATTCAATATTGAAATTATTAATTTTCGTTATACTACAGAATTTATAGTTTCTTAATTATATACTTTCTTATATATTCCTCAATCTCAATATTCACTATTCATATCCTACCACCGTAATAGTGACTCAAAATAAGGCTAATAAATAATTTC